AAAAAATACCAGGTCCAGAGAGTATATTTGTTCCAAAAAGAATATTTCCAAAAACAGACATACTATGACAAGAAAAATGTTGAATAGATATAAACACATTACAATCAAATTAGAAAAAAGAAAACAGTGAATGAAATTCAAAATGACAAAGGCCAGAAAAAMTGTGTTAGTGTATTATTTTAGTTTAAGACAATACCCTTGCTACTTATAGTAGCTTTAGTAAAAGTACATTAAAAATCAATAACATTTGGTTGGTTGTGGTTTCTGATCGTATTTCATACAGGTCAAAAGTGAGAATAGGTTCATCTTCCTAGAAAAATCCTTATTTGTTCAATAAATATACCTTGTTTAAAAACCATAGGTTTCAACCAACTAGATGAAGCTGTTACATCATATCACATATGACAATACCGTTGAGCAAGGTTGCGTTTTCCTAATATTATTAAAGCATTTCCCAGAACACCATATGATGGGTTAGGACTTGATTCTTTCCAAGACAAAAGCATCTGGAAGGCCTGTTCTCTTATCCCTAAGTTTGCGTAGTCTTTTGATATTTCTTCTATTCTACTGTTATCTAGTCCAAGCTTCCTACCAAGATGTCTCCAAATTGGAATGATTTCTTTGGCAAGTTCTTCTAGGTCGCCTTCTGATACTAAAAGAGAGACATTATTTTCCATTTTCTGTTGTTTTCTTGATATACTATCTGTGAAAACAATGTGCAGATAAATGTACCATCTGTGAAAGAATGCATGGATGAATTCTCTCTCTAGGCATGCATGGCTCCTATTTGAAATCTTATATACCCTCAGATCCAGGGTCAGATACAGGAAGCAAAGAAAGGGTGGGTTGGAAGAAAGGGTGAGCCTGAAAACTTCGTCCTGAGAAAAACCTTCAAGAATGTATGCAAATACAAATATTTTTAAAGAAAATACATCACTTAAATGGAGTGGGCCGTGGCCTCGTGGGCCTACCACTGAATCCGCCCCTGACCTTCTCCTTAATCAAACATTTACATTCCCATGCCCATAAATTTAATGCATCCAACTAGCCAGACAATTGCTGTGAATGAATGGAAAGAAATATTGGCTACAGACTGTCCAGCAAAACTGATGTTTTCTATGACTGCCATGACCAATTTTCATAAACTAATATTAATTTTGGAGGAAAAAATATATACTTTAATGAGTTTCTGTTTTTATTTGCCATTATGTTAAGTGTAACTTTCATTTTCCATAACTTTTTTAATTTTTAGAAATTTTCCAAAAGCTGACATTCTTATATTTCGACTTAACTTTTAAAAGTAAAATCCAATTGCTGGTCTACCATCAATACTGCATTCTGATTGGATAAGCTACTACTAGGCTATAAGTTATAACCTACTAKWAGCGAAAACTGCCAGCTTTGAAAAACAAAAATTCAAAAACTTTGCATCTATATATTTGACCGATTAGTTGAATTTGAGAAAAGCAATTTTAGTCTTCTCACCCCAGGGCCTATGTAACTCATTTGGGCTCAAGGACTAATTATTTCTAAATAACCAAAATATTTTCATACCTTTATCAATTTCTTCCCCCTGACTATCTTGTATGGGAAATGCAGTAGGCTTTGTATCTAAATAAAAAAGAAACATTGTTACATATTGGTACTAAAATTTGTAACAAYATAAAAAGCATTAATTTTATGATCATTCATTTATTGAACAAAAGTACAATAAAAGTCACTAATAATATGAGCAAACAAACATTACTTTGTCGGTTCATTATATGCTAGCTTAGCAAGCCTTAATGCAAAAAAGGAAATTTTCAAAAATGTCGGTCATTAGTAGCCCCCTTTACGTCAGCTGCTACATCCCTATGGATTGTTATCTGTTTGTGTAGCCTAGATCAACATAAGGGTTTTTTTTCATTTGGAGGATTTTAGAATTTTTTAAATTCACAATCTCATAAGAACTTAATATTATTTGAAGAAAACAGAAGTTCAAACTTCCTTACATGTACCTTTGTTCAGATGAGACAGTACTGCACTGCACAAAACTCCTTTGTTGTATTTCGGTTCTTCAAACCCCTTTTGGTGTATTGCCACCAAATTCAACTTATAGAATACAGGAGCTCCTGAGGAACCAGTCTCTGTGTCGGCTTTGTAACGCACAAATGGAGGCACAACTTTCATAATCTTGTCATGACTGAACTCCTTTGACCTTCCCTTAGGATGCTGTAGTATGACGACTTTATCTCCTTCACTGATTATAGGTTCTGGCTCGAATTGGATGGGTATTATCCCAAGGTTGAGATCTTCAATGTTTTCTCTCTGAACTCCAATAAAGGAGTAATCCAATTCCTTTGCGATTAATAAAACATTTTTTAGAATTTCTTTTAACGGTCAGGCAATTTTTACTTGCTATAGTAAAGCTTCAGGGGGAGGGAGAAAGAAACAGCCTAGTTATATCATCTGGAACTATATGCTTTGATATACTATTTTGATACYACCATATACGAAGGTGGCTCCATAACAACTGAGAAGGTACACCGTATCTGACCACAACAAGTAATTTGTTAGGTAGATCACAGTCAAACTAACCTTATTTGTCTTGAATATCAAATGTGGACTCAAACTGACTCTTTTACCATGCTCATTTTCACTATCGTAACCAAAGATGGCCTCTGCCTGCTGTGCCTCCATCTCGCTTGATAAAACATGGTTATTCGTGAATATACCATGGCGTTCAGTCTGGTTAATCAGCACCGTACTGTAGAATCCGCTCCCACGCCTTAAATAGAAACAAAAAGTGGGTTTTGAAGAAGTGGGAAAGTACGTGTATTGTATCAACTGATTTTGAGCACATTGCAACTTTTGTGTGCAGCTACAACTTGACACAGCGTTTTTGAGGGATAGCATATCATACTATTTTAAAACAACCTAGAATTGAAATAAATTAGAGTCAAACTGAATATTTTCCACGTTACCTCAGCCGATCTCTTAGCACGTGCACGTTCTAACGAGACTTTATTGTAAGCTCCTGTGTGTCTACGTGAATAAATAAATTACTTACTTATCTCGTAGTTTGATGTAGCACACAGCTTTAGATCGTTCCATAAATGTATTCATAGACATCAGACCATCTCCATCACTTATGAGGACTTCTAGAGATTCTCTTGGGTCCATTGAAGGGTAGTAGGTTTTGTTGGAGCCTTTTCTAAAGTCAAATCCTCCTAACTTTTTATCACAACAAGGCGGAAGGCAGCCATTTTGTTTTTATTCTCCAGATCTCCAGCGCGTAAACTGGGTAGAGCCCAGCCTTCTTTGATAATGCGAGGACACAGGAGACCCAAGCAAGACTTGATTGAGAGGCATTAGTAGGTGGTCGGTGGTAATTCATGTATTCAAACACATTAAAATAACGTCCCATATACGACGTTCCTAACAAAGACGTTCCTTTAATGCACTTTTGAACATTTTATTCCGGAGATCCTCGGTATCGTGCTAAATATCTCGAATATTTTTATATTTGCAAATATTTGAAATTGAAGTTGGGTTACCC